CATTTGCTGGCTGGGTCTTGAGAATCTGGATCTTGCTGGGAGAGCCTGGATATTGCTGGGAGGATGGAGATCTTCCCCCGCTTTATTTTTTTTTTCCTCTTATGGTAAGGAATAGGAGTCCTCAGAAGGCACACAGCGGCTGTGGAGGTGCCTCTGGAAGCCCTTTGCAAGTCGGACTCGGTGGCATGGCCCTAGCTTGGTGGCATGGCCGTGGCTCCGGGCCACCTGCGGCCGCCCCAGGGCATCTCCACCTGGTGGCAAGGCTGAGCCTCGCCAGCGCAGGGTCCTGCCTGCGTGCGCGGTGCCTCCGGGGTTGTCTCCTCGCGTGGAGGACACCAGCAGTGGAACATACACGTTGGGTTAACCGGGTGGTCACATAAATGTGTTTTCCACACAGCTGGAGGAACTGAGCTCCACGCCGCTCTCCTAGGTGGGAGACGGGTGACGATGGGTGTCAGTATCAGTGTTGCATGGCCCTCAAGGTGCAGGTTGCTCTTGATCTTCTCATAGACCCCAGATAGGCTCGAGCCTATTTCTTTGATGGTTAGCGAAGCGCGCCTGCAGGTGACTGGATCCTGCAGTCCTGGCAGTATGCGATATTTTGGGCAGTGGGTCTGTCAGGTGGAGCACAGCTTGGGTCATGCTGCACCTCATATGAGCAGCTGTGGGGGAAGAAGAGAGCAGGGTCAGCCTGGTCACATCTCTTCTCCCACAGCCCTCGCATGAGGGGCCAAAATGGCACTGAATTTGTCAGTCACTGTTGCAGAAAATCCCGACAAGGGATTCAGGAAAGGACGGCAGGAGTCCACCAGAAGCCTAAGTGTGGTTCTGCCCAAGTGTCTGCACCTGCTGTTGGTTGTAGTTTCGGGCTCTCCAGGGAACAGAAGCTCTCAGGGTTTCCCAATCTTCTTTGCAAGCTTTTCTGGGGCTTGGTGTCAGATAACAGCACACAAGTGTCACATGTTTGAGGCTGCCTAGACAAGTAATGTGACAACTGGCGCAAGGGGCTGAGGCACGCGGTGAGAGCGGCGGTAACCAGAGAGAGCAGCTCCTGGTTTATCTTGGGCGGCTGTCAAAGCCGGGCACCTTCACCGTGCACACACCACTGCCTTATGAGCCAGGCTCTATTGAGCACATATCTAGAATCACTGATATTAACGTTAGCAGTCACATGTTGTGTAGCTGCTGGTTTTCCACCTTGTGTTTTCTCCTTCTCTTATCCTTAAGAGGAAAGGGGCTTCTAGTGTGTGATTTTCATAGGAAGAGGAGCTCTGAATTCATGGCTTATGGGTACTAAACTAAAAATCACAGAGTGTCTAATGACTGGAACTACAGGGAAACTCTCCGAGGGAAAGGAGGAACTCCTCAAACACACTAGATTTGACTTGCAGTGTTGTAACTAAGTAAGTGGCTACCTGGTATTGCTTAGCCTAAGAAAAAGGAGCATACGTAGTTCCTGGAAGTAACTTTTACCTTAACTGGAGCTTACTCTAAGTGGCCTTTACAATTTGGCACCACAGATGATATGACCTTTACCTTCCCGCACCTGTGTGGATGTTAGGTGCTCCCTGCTTGTCCAGGGGCTAACAGAAGTATTTTTGCTCTGACATTTCCTTTGGCGTAGTCCGGAGAGATGATGCTTTCTTGGAGACTTGCAGCAGTCTAGGTTGTAGAGTGAACTTTGTAAATTCCATCTTGGTTGTCGTTTCACTTTGTTGTGTGAACTTCTCCATTCTGTTTGGCCAAAGTGATGTTACACTTAAAATCGCAATGTGCTGTGTAATCTTGGCGAGCCTTATCAGCAAGTTATTCCAATTTGAAATAGAATAACTAAGGACTCTGCAGTTATTTTGGGATCTCCAGAGTGGCAGGCTTAGTCTAATATCTCTTGTATGCTATTTTGGGAAAGTTTAGCTGTTCCCACTCTGCAAGCCGAAGTGAGGACATTTGAAAACTAACAGGAGGCAGTCATTTTGTATTTAGCTAGTAGTACGGCCATACTACTAGTTAAATACATGTATGGAATGGAATAACATGTAACCAGGGTTTGCATGCAGAAGGCTACCTCCGACAGAAGCAGCTGGCCAACACATAGGAGATCTTAGTGCAGGAGCAAGTTGATAGCTGTGGTTTCTGCAGCCACGAGCACGACAAGGCAGTGATAACTCAACAGCCCTTGACAAAACGGTGGTAGCTTTGCAGAACCATGCTATTAAAAGGTTCACACTGGTGTAACTCCCGTTCGGAAAAAGGTAGAGGGTTGGAGGTGTAGAGCACAGAGAGGATAGGAAATGTTTCATGGTAATTGTATTCAAAGAGTGCCAGTATAAACTGTCATGACTTGACTGAGTAAAACACTAACCTGCTTGTCAGATGCAACCTGTAAAACTGCTAAAATATTAGCAGAGCCTAATAAGCTGCTGTTTCAAATCTTTTACTTCTCATGCTAGAGAGAGCAGATGAAATTGCCCTTGTTTTCCTTGCTTGTGTTCTGTCCAGGACTTGTTGTTACCTAGTGGCTGATTGCTAGCCAATATAGTGTGAAATATATCTGCTTTGGTAGGCTGAAAAGCTTCCCTCAGCTTGGAAACCGCTTTGCATTTTGCATATCGCTCACAGAAGACATAAGGTAACGTGCAGTGATCTACTATAATTAGATGCCCTTTGCTGGCCTTGGAATGCCAAGACAAAGCACTACCATTAAATGATGCAATAAACCAGGGAGGAGCAGGAGTCTTGCATCATGCCAGGCCAGTGCAGCCAAAGCTAATGCATAAGCTTGCACGCTTGCCTGCATGCGTTTCATGGAGCACGTTGAAGAGCATGGCTGCTGATGAGGCTGGTGCAGCTCCAGTGACAGCTCTAATAGAGCTTCTGGACACGGTAGTTTCCCTGAGGGATGGGGTCATTGAGCTTCAGAACTAAGATATTTTGGAAAAGACGGGTGGACAGTGAGAGTCACACAGTGTGCTAACAAGCTAAGATCCCTGTCGGTTGGGAGAACAGCAGAATTGGTTCCAGAAGGTAATGATAACTTATTTTGCTCTCTTAACATCGTATTTGACCTAACTTTAAGTAGCAAGAGCTGGATAAGTCATCGTACTTTGTTTCTTATATATTTAGGAGCTTTTTTTCAGTGCTCTTGTCTGAGGACTTCATTAGCAGCCTGGTGGTGAAGGACTCTGTCCTTCATGATCATCTTCCAGACCGCAGAGCTAGTGCTGCTGGAGTAACTCATATCAAGAAAAGCTGTTGTTCAGCTACAGGGCAGATTGCTAAGCTATCTCACTGTGGGCATCCTGGGGGACCTGCTACAATGCATAAGCAGCAGAGTACTGAAATGCTAATTGAACTTGATGTTAGTCACATTTCAACTCGGTTTGCTCAAAGTTTGACAAGATTTGAGGGTGCAATGCTGGGCTACGGACAGCAGAAATCAGTGTGTGTGCATCCCACTACCACTGGCCAATCTGGACAGCTCAGCAGCGAGACCACGAGGTGAGCTGCCTGCTGTCCTGCAGGCATGCTGTCACGCCGCCTAAACTCTGCGCCCGTGCTGTGAAAACCTCCCCTTCTCCTGGCCTGATTATGATAACTGCAGTCGAAAGTCCCAGAGCTCAGATGTGGTCTCCTGCTGATGGTATTTTATTAAGCTGGATATCTCCTCCCACTGCTGATACCAAGGAGTTTTGCCAAACGCTATCTGATCTCATGTTTCTCTTCTTATTGAAGGTGCAAGAGCAAAATGTGAGGAATCCCAGTTTGCGTGTAGTAATGGACGCTGTATTCCTTTACTCTGGAAATGTGATGGTGATGAAGACTGTTCGGACGGCAGTGATGAGACGACTTGCGGTAAGTACTAGGGCAAAAGCAGTATCTCTGTAGCAGTACTTGGTGATCATCCTTTGTGTTGGAGTGGGTAGCGAGGTAACAGATTGGTAGGTGTCCCAGGGATAGAGATGTCCTGTCCAGCACCTCCATTTCCATCCGGAATAGAGAGCAGAGGATAAACTCCCTAGGGCATCCGAGGATCTATCTTGATGCTTGTATTCCTCTGAAGTAGTGAAGCTTCACTGAACATTGTGAATATCTGATGGGCTTGGTGCCTCAGGTAAAAGCTCAGGACTGAAACTCTTAATTTGCCAGGATAGTTATTGTGAAGAACAGACTGCAGCTCTTTTTCTCTTATTGCTTTAAGATGTGGTAAAAATCAGCTGCTGTTAGCACTTAGATGTGCTCAATCCATGCTTAAATATCTTCCCCAACTCTTTTTTTTCTCTTTCTGTAAGAAAGTGAGGCTGTTCAGCCTCCATTAACGCTAAGTTTACCTCTGGCTGGCAGCTCTTGCTTTAAGCACACTTAGGGGCAAGGGCAGGGTGACCAGATGTGATTAGACAAGGCAAAATGGGCTCCCTGGCCAACCCCCGTGTGTTCTGCCTGATCAGGTCTGAACGGGTACCCTAGGGCTATATAGCACTGCTCCTCGAGTGGCTCTGCAAGGCAGATGCCTTGGTGAGAAACTGCTGGGGTTTAAAATCCAAATATAATTATTATCCATATCCATCATTAATATCCATAGTCCTTGCTGCAACTCAGGTTTGTTGAGAGTAGCAGCTCTTCTAGCAGCATGGTCACTCTTAGCAGCACTCCTTCAGCTTCCGCTTGCAGGAAGGTGGATGTTTCTCTGCACCACTGTAACTCTTTGGGAAGTGCTCTCATTAGGCTGGTGGGAGAAGATGCTAGCGGTGCTGCATCACTTCCCTAGAGCAGCAGAGCCCATCCTCTTGCTGCAAAAACCTGGCTTAGCTCTGGTTCCTGAACAAGTGGCTGTCCTTCTCCCTTGCAGTAAAGAAGACGTGTGCTGAATCTGATTTTGTGTGCAACAGTGGTCAGTGTGTGCCGAACCGGTGGCAGTGTGATGGGGATCCGGACTGCGAGGATGGGTCCGACGAGAGTGCCGAGCTGTGCCGTAAGTGAGCCTGGACCACCCGAGCTGGTGGGGAGATCTGGGAGACGGTGGGGAAGCTTTGGGTTTGCACCTGCCTGCAGCCTGGCTGTCCTCGTGCAAGAAGGAAGTTCTTGCTCTGGAGAGCACCTGAATAAGTGATAGCTTGGCTGTGGCCGCATCAGTAGCTGGACGAAACTTCTGGCTTGTTACAAGGGCTCGGTAAAGAGTGGGAGATATGTCCCTGTGGTTGGTAACTGATAGGAAGATTCACCAAAGTTTTCCCTAACGGTGAGCACACTGGAGCCTTGAGTGTTACAGTGGCTTGTTCACTGAGCGACCATAGTCCATTAGGAAGACTAGTTGCAAAATAACCAGACTGGGTGACTGGATATGTGTGGGGAAGAAAGCTAAAGTACAAAGACATAACTAGAAGCTCTTGGAATATACTCCGATCTTACATGTTTTAGCTAATCCAGGAATATAGATCCTGTGGATCTATAGCGCTTCATTTGTCTGTATCAGTAGGATCTGCACTGAAGAGCAATCTCCATGCTTCAGCCTCAGGCCCTGCTGCTGCATGCAGTCTGCAACTGCATGTTACAGCTCAACCTTCTGCAGTACAACTGGTGTGCAATAATACAGCTACTGCCACAAAGATACTCCTGCTAAATATTAATCTACTAGGAAATGGGAGTTTTTATTTCATGCTGACACCTAACTGCAGTTGTGTCCAGAGCTGGAGCCTTTCACACTCGACTTCAGGAGGACTGCTTAAACCCAAGATCACTAGTTCTTCAGTTTCAGGACTCTTAAATTGAACTTAAACTTTTTCCAATAGATATGAGAACGTGCCGGGTAAATGAAATCAGCTGTGGGCCTCAGTCAACCCAGTGTATCCCAGTGTCCTGGAAATGTGATGGTGAAAGAGACTGTGACAGTGGAGAAGATGAAGAGAATTGTGGTAAGGGAAGAAGGAAATGGTGGCTGCATAACTCTATTTGAAATTGACTTGACCTGAAAGGAGCTAGCTGGGCAGTATACCTGGGAAGATAATTCTTCATAGTATCAATATCTCCTTAATAGTACATTCACGTTCATGTTGCAGACTTGTTCCAATGCTTCCCTAGTTTCCTAAGTTAGAGTTCATCATTATAAGCTATTCAATACTTACTGTCAAAACTAACCAGAAATTGCAATAGTTACAGGCTTAGTTGCATGTCAGGCAAACCACCACAACTTGTTCTCTGCAGTTTCTCAGCAGGTAACTCTAGTTGGTGATAGCATCTTGTCTCTTAAAGATACGGTAGTGACTTGTAACCAAGCTGTAGTATTTTGCTTGTCTGAAAGTACAGATTAGGGAGCTGGTTTCAGGTGTTGAGGGACAATTCCAGGGCAGTACTCGAGCACAGATATGACCTCTAGCCTCAGTTCAGCCGTTCTCCTGGCTCCTTTTGAACCGCCAGCATAGGAGCTGCCTGAGCTTGCTTGTGAGCAGAGCCACAAGGTTGACTTCTGTCAGCACTGCCTTACCCTGGCAGGCAGCAATATCCTGAACTTCACTCTTCTGCTCTACATCTGTAGGATAGCTGCCATACTTGGCAAGCAAGTGCCTATTTTTGCTACCAGTAAATCTGCAGGCAATGTCTCTAATGGAGCTGATAAAACTATCAGCCTAGGCATACTGAGCTGCTAGCTACACTACTGCAAAATGAGCATAATTGGTACTGCCATAAGTTGTGTGGATGTGCAAAATGCCACAGGATCAAGTGGTGCAAAATCTTGATCTGTTTTCCCCAGTTGTCCAGGCAAATGGGCCACTGCTATCCTGGGGACCAACACACAGCACTTCAATTTCAAACTACAGTGCATGCTGACCATATGGCTATCTTAACCATAGTCTGTACTCCAGAGTTGGCAATTCTCTTACCTTCTATCTCTGATTCACAGAGTCTGAGCCTGTTCTCCCAGAGACTAGCACTCCAAAGGAGAACAGTCCAGCTGCTCTAGAAAAAGTCATATCTACCCAGTAGCACATCTGATGCCTCTCACTCACTGTAACAACTAAAATGTTAAGGACAGTCTCTGCAGGGTTCAGTTGGCCATCTGCAGGACACTTAGGCTCTCCCAGAGCCTAAAACAGAATGCTGACCTACCGTTAGCTGATGAAGCCAAAAACATGCAAAGCAAGTTGCCCTTCATAAGAAAATCTGCCCTATTGTGATAATCTGCTAATCTCTCTCTCCTATTACTCCAGGCAATGTGACCTGTAATCCATCAGAGTTCACATGCACTAGTGGGCAGTGTATTTCCAAGAGCTTTGTCTGCAACAGCCAAGATGACTGCAGCGACGGTAGTGATGAGCTGGAGTGCGTGCCCCCAACCTGTGGTGCTCATGAGTTCCAGTGCAAGAGCTCCACTTGCATCCCTGTCAGCTGGGTGTGTGATGACGATGCCGACTGCTCGGACCAGTCGGATGAATCCCTGGAGCAATGCGGGCGCCAGCCCGCTCCCGCCGTGAAGTGCTCCATGAGTGAGGTGCAGTGCGGCTCGGGCGAGTGCATCCACAAGAAGTGGCGCTGTGATGGAGATCCTGACTGCAAGGATGGAAGTGACGAAATCAACTGCCGTAAGTTAACTTGCTCTTTTCTTCTACAGAAGGTGCTCCTTTGGTTCTGTCCGTTCCCTCAGCAGACCTTTGAAATTTAACTCTGCAGTGGCTCTGTCCTTAGCTTCTCGGACCTGTAGACCAGACCAGTTCAGATGTGAGGATGGGAACTGTATCCATGGGAGTAGGCAATGTAATGGTGTGAGAGACTGTCTGGATGGCACTGATGAAGCCAATTGTAACAATGGTGAGTGTGGAATTGAGCAAGGGTAAAGATGTCACAGAATCTTTCCTG